TAGGAATGTGATGACGTGACACTCGCTTTGATGGAATCCGAGGAATCCTCTGCACTTCACGAGGAATCACTGGGATGTTGGATAAGAGGGTAGGATTTGCAGCAGGGTTCGTTTTGGTAAACGATAAGCTGAATTGACGTCCTAACGATAGGGAGGGGTTACTGTGTAAATAAATAAAAAGGAATGATCTCACTCAAATAACCAAGTGGAGCTGCACCAACAGCAACTGGCCTCCTCGTAGACTTTCTTCGACCCATCGCAGGTATCACCTTAAAACACAGACTTCAAAATCGGACGGATCCATCTCGTCGATATATATTTAATAAAATATAACAAAATACAAACAACCTCGATTTGAGTCACTCAACTTCTTTAAACTCAAGCTATATATGAATATTTTAATTGCATGGTATGATTGAACTCAACTTTGCCTATTTAATGAATCCACAATTTAAGTAAAGAATCAATTTGCTAAATAATCGAGGTTATTTGAGCATACAAGAGTTGTAAAAACGAGTATCAATGAATAATTCTTGAAATAGCAAAACACAGCAAAGGTAAAACAATTAAAATACATTGGCCTAATGTATGATGATATTCAATTTTTTCTCTGGGTAATCCAAATTCTGAAAACCATAGATCATATTATATTATAATAAAATAAAATGAAAATAACAATGCTTTGCTATTTCATACACTTTCTGGTCCTTCAAGATCTGCAGGAAAACTATTTGCTGTAAATGAAAATTATAGTTAAGAAATGATGATATTTAAACATGTGAAATAAAAATAATTTACTAGCCATGCAATATATAAAATATAATGAATGTAAAATAAACAAGTATTACAAAATACAAATAAGCTCGATTTTAGTTAACCTCAGTACATTTCACTGATTTCAACTTTTGATATTGTTTTTTTTTTGGAATTGTTACAAACACTTTATTACACTGAAAATAAAATTTCGTTTATACAACGAAATCGCTCGATTGTTCTACGAATTTATTCGTTGTTTTCTGCAACGAAATGGATTTGTACATTGTATGAAGCTAGTTTCGTTAGAACTGCCACACTCGCTATCGGTACACCCAACCAGCGGGCCACAAGTGTTGGTTGTAGAGACCGAAAAATGTGGAGTGTGTTAGTGAGGATGGGTAAAAACAACTTCATCATTGGAAGGAATAAACATGATAAAAAAATAAAAATAGACTTCAGACTGGACTCGACTCATGAACCTTGCGATCGTCAGATCTGTGCTTTATCCATCGCTTGATATGTGCTACGAGAAACAGTAAAGCTTAAGGCAAACAACAAGCACTTATGGAACGGTAATTCGATGTCACTTGCTTTTTTTTTCTCTAACATAAAACCACCGCGACGAGTAATTTGATTTATTGTGGTAGCTTTCATGTATCGGTCAAACCGACAATATTTTAAAAAAAGTATCCCATCTCCAACACACAATCAGCACTTTAGGACACAATAAGCGCAGTTTTTGGTTTGATTGTACGAAAATGAAATTATATATTATACGAATAAGGTGTAATGTTGACATTGCGCCAGATGACAGGAAAAACGAATGTTTCGTACCATTTATGAAAGATGTGTTGTATGGACGATATTAATTTTTTACGAAACTGTTTTCAGAGATATAACGAAAATACGTTTTCAGTGTATGCACCATGGAATGGTTTAACGCAATATGGAATGCTTTTTAAAATATTGGTAAACTTTAAAAATGAATCAATAGTCAGAAAAATCGAGGTTATTTGGACAGGTAACAGTCTTCATGCACTTGTTATCATGCATTACAATGTTTTTTTTTTAATTTTCCTGAACGAAGGCTGAAAAAAGAGATCCGTCATCGAAGAGCTGAAAATAAACTAAAAGATAAAAATCAGTAAATCCGGCCTAAACGGAGGACTCGCAACACAATAAGCTCCCTCATCACTTATATTCCGAATCTGATTAAATAAGTATTTACAAATAATAAATATATCAACAAGTTATATCATTTTCTCTACTGGAAAGTTAATTGGTTAATTGCACTGTCATATAAACGTTAAACATACATTAGAGAAGGTTTTGCAGGAATAACATATGAAATAATAACCGACAGTGTAATGCCTAAAAAAGCTGTAGGATGGCGTGGTAGATTTCAACTTTTAGAGTGTAACGAATTGTTTCTATTTCTGAAGCATCTCACCACTTATCGGGATTCAACCGTCAAATCACTACACTCAACTGTCTTCCGCATTGATAAGGGAAAACTAATCCCCCTTCTTCAAATCACGTAAATATGTATATCAGATCGATCAAGCGAGTCTCTGCTCAAATCTTGGCCCATACTCATAGGTATACTTAGTTCGCCGCACTCTTGACAGCGAGTAGGCATAGCGAACGCGAAACCCATCGAGATTGTGCCCTCAAGTGGTGTGTATTTTCAAGAATCACGTGCCTCTGCTGGCGCACCAACCGTCGATGGCCGTTAGGCTCTTAGTGGTTGGAAATCGCAATCAAATTAATTTCCATCAATCCCGACATTCGATCCCCCTCTCGAGGACTGCAAATGCAAACATATGTCGAACACATTGTTCTTCAGATGGGAAATCTTGAAATAACCTTCTGACCTCTTCTTGGCGTGTTTCGATGCCATTGTTTGATGTGTAGTTCGGATTGACTTGTCGCCATTTTGGAACGTCAAACCGTATCGAAAATTTTCCCGCGCTAACAGCAATCAGTAAATGTAATTTTAATTAGAAGGGTACTTGCAGCAGTTTGACTATCGGGACGATTGTTGACGGGAGGTTCCAGTCTATTAATGGTACAACGGACCGCCTGTGGCTGTATTATTGAGTTTGGCTGTGTTTTTTTTTCTGTTCGGTGTGTCAATGCTGATACCAGGTAAAAGGACCTCCCGCTGAAGTTCCCATTGTAGGGTATATCGGAAATTGACGGAAAATTCTCATGCATTGCAATGTGTGTACGTTCGTACGCAGATTCGGTACAATTGCGGCTTTCAACGATGATCGTAGGGGACGGCAAGTAGTTGTTTGTAATTTTGTTAATTATTTACATCTGGTTTGGAGAAGAAGTACGTTGAGGTCTATATTTTCTCCCAAGTGTCACGTTATCTGGTCGCAAAAACTTCAAACGATTTCATCACCTTGTGCCGTTGCGGTCCGCGCTGCTTAAGGTGAAAATCCCCCGCCTCGCCGGATGGTATTTGACATCAATAAGGGTAATAAAAATAAATTCTACGGCTCCAATCTCGGTCGGTTAAGATTTGCCGCTGTTGGACGCACGCTACCTCGTCAGTGCATTAGCCAGTGGCAAAAGTTGTCATTACGGGCACAGCAGTGTAAGCGAAAACATGTGAACGGGTATCTCTCTACATGTGGCGCGATAAAAGAATAGACTACGTAAGGGGAATCATTACCCGCGGAGGTAAACATACTTGCTACGGCGACGACGACGGACACCTGGCAGTCGTTTCTTATCACTGCAACCAACACTGAGAAGCAAGTCTATAGTTTAAGGTGAAATAAAATTTTACATTTATGATGTAAACAGGCTTTATATTTATTACTGTGGTAAAATCCAGTATCCGCAAATATTTGTACGTCCAAGTCTGCGTCAATCCGACTGACTATTGATTATTGTTGTTTTTATTCTTACAACTAATAGGGTAGAGAACTACTTCGGCCTAAGCGCTCATTTCGGGCCTATCATGCAGAAAACATCAAATAAATCCATGATTTTGGCGTTAACAGGTAGATTATGCGTTTGGTACGATACTTTAGTTCAAATGCTACCGAACGAAGTCAATAAGAACGCGTGATATGAATGTTTGCACCCAATATGCTCAATACAAATGAAGCGCTCCGACCGAATCAATCTTTTTCTTCATCCGTTTGGCCGAAGTGAGTTCATTGGCGTTTCAATGCGTTAGGCCGAGTTTAGAATCCGTAGGCCGAATTTGGCGAAGCAGTGTTAGACTTTTGAAAATATCTCAACGATTTGTCTTTATCAAATCTTACGGTACGTACGGAAAGGTAAATACATTTGGAAGCCATCATTATTCTGTTCGGTGCTAAACTACGCTAGATTAAGAAAGACTAAGTGCGGGTTGTGCTTAATATACCGGAAATGGGGTAGTTAATCCTACCTATTACAAATCAGAACGGTTGTGTATTTTTTTTTCATAAAATAACGATGGAAAACTGTCAGAAGGAGTAAAAAAAGAAGTATTTTCTACAGCAAAAGTAAATCCGCACTCAAGAAGTAAATGGATCAGATATTGATCATGACTGCTGAAGTCATTACAGACAGTGACGTGATGAACAAGCCTACGGATAAAAATCACGGTAATAAAGAAAAAAAAAATATGCAAAAATTTCAGACTGTGAAGATATTGCAAGAATTCATTTTGAAAGATTTCGCACCTGCTCATTTGAGTTAACTTGGCTGGTGATTGAACAATTTTATGCAAACATTGTCTCAAATACGTCAATTCTAATATTACTCAAACTATTGACCTGTTGGCTCAAGCAGCTTACGTTGAATTTACCCGTAGATTTTCACCCAACCCTTTAGGCTTTTAAACGGCTCAGATTGTACCTTTATACCTTATCTTATCTAAGCCTCTCTGAGGCTGGCAGCAGTCCAAACTCGACGAGCGTCTTTTAATGAATATTTAAATTTGGTAACACTCGCTTATCTGCCGTCCCTGTATATATGTACAAGCTTCTTGTCACTTCGCTACCTCAAGGTTTGTTATCAGTCATCATCAGCAGCAGACTGTCACACAAGCCTTAAGCGCGCTTATCACCGCTAATCACATTTCCCCGAAATCCAAACGGAGAAAATCGCTACCGCTGCTATTTTCGACAAAATTCACTTAACTCACCTTCCTGCTAGCACCATTTACAATCTTTGCCTAGGCTTAGTCTGATTGGACCTGGATTAAAACATGCACTCTTTTCTCCTTTCCTCCCCAGCTCACCACAGCACCAACAATCCGCCGCCCAGCAGAGCTACCACCGATCCTACGAGGAATACATGCACCAGCACCAACAACAACAGCAGCAGCAACAGCAACAACAGCAGCAGAACCAATCCAGTCAGAACCAGTCTCAAAACACTGCGGCCAGTTCCCCGCTGCCTGGTCATCCCGGCCAGCACTCTAGCACAGGAGGAGGAATGCTAGCACCACAAAGTCCCAGCATGCTCAGCTCCGGCAGTAACGGCATGATGTCCTCCCCGCTCATGCAATCCCATTCACCGCTGCTCTCGTCGAATCCCTCCCTGTTGAACTCTCAGTCCCCGCTTCTTTCCAACTCTCCGCTGATGAGTCAGTACTCCCCCTATCAGGATGTGATCCCAACCATCCTGCCGCAGGACGACCCCGGTGGATGGGGTGGATATGCCCTCGCCCCAGGACCGTACCAGAGTGAGTTCTGTGCATCCAACTATGGAGTGTTACACCAGCGGCAGCAGTATGGAGCACCGGGGAAAATGGGACCACATGGGACGCTGAAAAGTGCCAAAGAGGCACGCATCCGGCGGCCCATGAACGCCTTCATGGTGTGGGCTAAGGTGGAACGGAAAAAGCTCGCCGATGAAAATCCAGATCTACACAATGCCGATCTCAGTAAAATGCTAGGTAAGTGTTTGTTTGTTTAGCTGGCTTTTTGAGATTTGGTGGCGGGTGCAAATTGATAAGAGTCTGATAGTGCTTAGGTTGGGACGGCGCAACTGATGGCTAGGGTGACCAAATCGGTTGGGTTTGCGTTGGATATTCTGGCATTATAGACTGTATGGACTGTTTTTGTATAAAACGGGCACAGTTTTTCCGTCACATATTTTGTGTTTATCTACATCACTTGATGCTTTCTTCAGCAAGTATGAAGCTCTGCTTATAAGCAACATTGATAAAATAACAATGAATATATTTGAAGCAGCATGTAAATTTCACATGTGCTTTAAAATGCAATTTTTATACATATATCAATATAACTAAATCACCTGGACACATTTTGCAATTGTGTTAGACTAAGTATTTATTTTTTATTTTAGCGCTATTAAATGATGTTACACACCACTAAAACAATTATTTATTTCACAAATGAAAGTGTACGTCCAACTTTTATAACTTCAGAAAACTAACTATTCTTCGCTGCATACAGTGAAACTATTTAAGGCTTTTTGACAAAACTCATGTAATCATGACATGATTACCTGAGATTTCTCAAAAATGTAAATATTTACACGTCGTGCATTGAAGAATTGTGTCTCAATAATTTTGATACAGTAATGACCCGGTATTGCCAGCCCAATTTAAAAAATCTTTTTTAATGTTCTACGAAAGCCATGCGATTTAGAATCCATTATCTTTGTATGATGATCTTGAGTTCCTAGTTGCGTCTTATAAAACCATCACACCAGTGCGGGAGATAGACAGTGTCTCCGGGAATTTTTTTAACGAGCATCACTCCATTTTCGTACTGTTTGTGCTCCATTTTGTAGCTTTTCTATCACTTTTACTTTGTTGACTCCATGGTACCAGAAAAGATATAGATATATACAATATTAGCAACGATGTGAAACAACCACTACGGGATGGCCGTTCAGAATTGTTCATCGGATGTGAAATGAGGGAACATTTAAATTTACCACGATTTAAAGTACTTCAATGCAACATTACATTTTTTACCAACAATTAATAATTTTTCAATATGTTATCTTAACTAATTTCTGGAAACATCTACTTATTTTTATTCAACAAGAATCAATAATGACATAACAATGACCAATGTCATCACTTACTCACACATGAAATCTGCCTCAACCAACCAGGCAGAACGCGACCTAAGCCTCACTGAACCAAAGGACAGGGTCAATAATGTTGGTACAGTAATATTAATAAATATTTAAAAAACAGGGTTGCTTCCACTTACTTGCTATAAAAAATGTTTTTTTGAATTATAAAATCATTAGATGTTATAATCAGTGTTTACTCGGCTGTCAACAGAAGCAGACCACTCTCAATGTGTGTGTCACGCGATCGTCTGTTTACTCGATAGCAACCATTTTGTGGTCCTCCTCATTGTTCTTCATCAGCAGTTCTTTCAGTCGATGCGTCGTCGGCTTTGGAAAGCAACCGTTTTGTGATGAATGTGCGAGTGCTGACCACGTTTTGCGTCCATTGCTGCAGTGGAAGCGCTCTGACCCCCGTTGGCGAATCTGCCATACAATGAACCCACTGGAAACGGCTCCCGTTCTGGTGGAGGAGGCTTATTGGATAGCGGAAGATATAATGTGTATTTTTTTGTACCTTTTGACTATAGTTTTAAGATGAATTGTATAGTGAGCAAGAATCCTCGGCTCTGTCAAGTTAATTCGGTTGAGCCTTATCAAATAAAATAATAAACAAAAGAATAGTTGTTATTTATAATTTGACAAGAAGAGATGGTGACTGAGAGTGAGCCCTCACGAATTGTAAAATCGCTGATTGTGACTCTCTGACAGCAATATTGACAAACACATACTACCTCTTTTATCTTACAAGTTCAAAATTTCATTAAAACATCTGATGATTTCATAATTACGAAAATAATTTGAGAAGCAAGTGAGTGGAAGCATCCGGATAAAAGTCTGATACGTTGAGTGACTGACAAAATCTGGTCATTGCTGTACTTTTTAATCCTGTTTTGTTAAGCTATTACAGTTTTCGTTAAATTTAAATTTAAAATACATATTTGCAGCACTTAAACAAATTTAGTTCTGACTATTGACTTATTCAACGTATTTTTTGTAATCTTTATTATGGAGATTTTTAGCCAACTGGCTAGTTCATCTCCGAAGTCAGTCAACACAACAGCCTTTTCCATTTTGTTCTAATTAAGAGGCAACTAACAATCACTAGATTTGCTTTTACTTCTTCTTGTATTCCCAAGCAACACGGCTTGTCATTAAGAAGTTGAAAATTCTTTTTAATGACTTACGTAAAGAATCAATAATACTGTAATATACGTCATTAAATACATTTATATAACCTAAAAAGCGCAAGACGCGGAGCTTATACAACTTAATACTGGTCTTATAACATGTTTTGGAAACATCATAAAAACCAGCGGCAAAAAACAATAAAAAAAAACTTGAGCATGGGATTCGATCACTGGTAGACTTACTACTTCCTAACTAGAACAACTCCGCTTGATGAGAGGTTTGTTATAAGTATCTATCATGTTCTTGCCAATGGCATGAAAATTGTATTCTCGTTCAACACGCTTTCGATCCGTCATAAAGATGTTTTGTTAGCAGCAAAGCGTACATCTAATTGCCAGAGTGTTATTTTAAAGTATTTTCAACTCCTTATAAGACAACCTGCACATTTTCAGTTATATTAATTTATGAGATGTCATAAACAAGTGTTTTCAACTTTCTTTATAACAAACCTCCGAATACCTCATAAGAAACTGTCAATCACTGCGTGAAGAGACAGTCCGGCTCAATGGCGCCGTCAATGTTTACGTCAATCTGGAAAGTTCAGAATCTCTTCAAGAACTTTATAAATTCAACTAAGATTGATTTTGTATACGACAAGTTTTAAAGTGGTATTAAAACAGTAAGATGCACGTTTAAATAACATTTAAAGATAAAAGCAAAAGAAAACTATTTTGGAAAATGTTGAATCTAGGAATGTATGAAGAAAACATCTATAAACCTCATATATAACGTGGGATGTTTTCTGCATCACTTATAATTCATTTATATAACAAGCCGTTCTAATTATTTTTCAAAAAGATGTTCTATGTTTTACTTGGGTTCCTTAATCATCACTTTCTAAAAATATTGGTAAAATTAGTTGGTAGCGTGCGTCGCCGTGCCAAAATCGTCGATGTTTTATAAATATCAACTGGTATGGTGAGATAAATCTTACCATCTCTTTTATTGCTTCACTTTTCAATAGAACAGCAAATGTGATGTCACATATAGCGCATAAAAATGACATAGACATCAAATTCAAATTGCCAGACCACGCTGTATGAACTTTTGTTTACATCCCTGAGCGGGAAAGCAAATTAATAGGGCCCTGCTGCTATGTATGTTCCCTGTTTGGTTTAGTTCAATCTAATGTGACTTATTAAGTTGGATCGTTAATGTGCCAAAAAATATCCTTTATTTATTCAGTTTATGATATTAGTTCACCATTAAATACATCAGCTCATCTAAATTAATGAGTAAAACATTTTCATGACCAAGGTTGCAAATACTCATTTCAGCTAAAATAATGTTTTTCGGAATAATAAAACCAAAAGATGGTATGATGGCATGTTTTACTTGTAATTTACAAGAAGAGGTTACAAAGTAAGCGTTTGAAACATAAAACCTGTAAATTTTGCTTTCCATGAGTCACAATCAGCGATTTTCTGATCGCTGAGTGAGTGAGTGAGTGAGCTAGTGGGTGTGTGAAAAATCGCTGATTGTGACTCTCATGAAGTGAAATAAACAGATTTAATATGTCAAACACATTCTTTGAAACCTCTTCTTGTATCCTACCAATTCAAAATATGATCATGGCATCTAAATATTTCATAATTAAAAAAAAACATTGTTTTAGCTGAAATGAGATTTTGCAACCTTGGTCATGACTATTGTGTGCATGTATGTGTACACTAGACTGATGCAAAATTTGAAATTTTCGCTCCACAGTGCTCAAACGGTTCCAAATTGTGTTCTGATTATCCTCCCAAAATTTGAACTCCTTTAGTAAGAACCTGACTTGGCACAAACCATTTGAAGTTTATATGGAAATTACCATGGGGAAACCATAATTTCAGCTCATATCTATCTCAAAATTCATCAGTTCACTCTACTTTAGAAAATTATAGCTTAGCTTGTTGAAAATTTTCTCAGCTACAACTTTGTTGAAGACCACTTTTCGATCAAATGTAAGGAACAAAAATTATTAATGATTCAAGTCACTGGTGTCTTATGATTATGCTCAATCAACTGTTCAGTAGGCAACATTGGTGTTTATGGCGCGTAGAATAGAGGAAAAAATCATGGCTACTATGTCACACTGCAGAATACAGTGTTGCCCACAATACAAATGCTTAAACTTGCCATAAGATTATCAATGTCTTAAACAATTAATAACTATTTTATTTGACATTTGGCTGAAAAACAATTTTCTGCAAAGTTGTAGCTGATAAAAATTCTCATAAGAATAGCAATAGAACATTTTAACTGTACAATATGGAAAAAGGCTAGAAGACAATGAACAAAAAGTTTGGTTTTTCCTTAGTAATTTCCATATAAAATTCAGATGGTTTGTGCCTAGTCAGATTCTTATCAAATGAGTTTAAACTTTCGGAGGCTAATCAGGACCCGATTTGAAACCGTTTGAACAGTGTGGAACAAAAATTTCAAATTTTGCATCAGTCTAGTGTACACTGCTGACGATGATTGAAGAATATTTCAAAAGGAAGAAGAATACATCTTTCTTCCACGTATATGTGTATAGAGGATCCCATAGAAAAGAAAATATGAAAAAAAACCTTGCTTGTTTACACTAGAAAGCGTACAGATAGAATTATAGAATACTATTTATTGGTAAGACTAGTTTAGATTGATCATTCTGAAGTTATACGATTGACT